GTCCAGCTCACAAGCACGGTGACACCACACACACACACACACACACACACACACACACACACACACACACACACATATTTTAATGCAACAAGCTATGAAATTATTTTAATGGATTAAAAAAAGAAAAATCCTAGCAACAGAACATGAATTTTAAGTTGGCATTTTCTACAACTGTATATATTCCAAAGTAATTGACTAATATTTTCTTACTGTTGGCATTTCAATATAGTCCTAAGGAAATGGTTAAAAAATATTTAGTACACAAAATCTGAAACAGAATTTGTATTTCTGATTTACAGCGTGAAAGGCAATCAACTTCTACTTAAAACCTTAACCAGTGATGAAATACACTTCAAAAACATAAGCATTTGGACTGACAGTCTTTACTATCGGTTAAAAATGTTCTGATGTCTGTTGCTGATGGCATTTAATCCAACGTGCAAAAAAAGTGCAACTACTTTTTCTTGAAATATGTAAGACCAACACCACTATTTACACACTTAAAGGATTTTAAATTTATTAATTTAAGTAAGCATGTTGCATCTTCTTTACGGATAAATCAGGTGCTTCAGGGAGCCCAAAAGCTTAATGACATTCTGTGAAGTTACATTAATGTAACTGAAAAAGCAGATCTGTTTCTTGTTCTAACTTTGATCCTAAATATAAATCTCACTTCAAAAATCAGTTGAGAATTATTTTGGTCTAGGAAATCCTGGAACTGCTGCACATGTGGGAATCTTGTCGCTGAGGACCTTTTCTACTCTTCTCACCCTGGTCCCACGGTGACACTATTTTAAAATTCATGCAAGTGAAATAAAGCTGGACCCAGCACTTGGAAGGCTGAGGCTGGAGGATTGCCGCGAGTTTGAGGCCAGCTGGGGCTGCACAAGATCAGACTGAGCTACACAGTGAGACCCTGTCTCGAAAAAAAAAAAAAAAAAAGATACACAAGCTTAAATATCATGTGGTTCTCTTACATGAGGAACCCAAAATAAAAAGATCATAGAAAATAAGCAGATAGCTCTTTCCCAAATGGGAAGATTGCGGTGAGGGGATGAAAAAAGAATTAAAATGCCTTATGTATATGTACCAGCTCCCATCAGGAGGAATGAAATCATTATGTAATAAAAAATGAAACCACAAAGAATGGCTGCTATCAAGAAATCACACAATAACAAATGTTGGCAGGGTTGTAGGGAGAAAGGAACCCTTCTCCATTGTTGGTGGGAGTGCAGACTGGTGCAACCACTATGGAAATCAATATGGAGATACCTCAAAAAGCTGGGACTAGAGGTTCCACTTGACCCAGCTGTCCCTCTGCTGGGTATCTTTCCAAAAGAATTAAAAGAATCATATCACAGTGACATATGTGCACCCATGTTTATAGTGGCACAGTTTGTAATAGCTAAAACTTAGAATACAGCCCATTTGCCCATCAGTTGGAAACTGGATAAAGAAGATGTGGTTTTTTGATACAATGGAATACTACTCAGCCATTAAGAATGATAAATTACATTCATTCATAGGAAAATGGATACATATTGAGGATATACTCCTAAGTGAAATAAATAAGTCACACATGTGTAAATACCAAATAGTTTCTCTAGTGTGAAAAACTATAATAGTACACAAGATCCTTATGAGATAATTAACAATGTGAAATAGGAAGTAAAGGGCTAAAGGTGTAGGGAAAGCGGGAAGGGTAAGGGAAAGGGAATAAGGGAAAAGAAAAAAATATGAGAAAATAAAAAATGGAAATAAAATATTTGTAAATGGGGAGGGAGGAGCGGGTAAAGGGAGGGCAGGGACAAGGGGAAAAAATGAGAACCAAGACCTGTCATGTAAAGGTACAAGATCCCAGTAGTGAATGTACGGTACAGTACACCTAGAATGTACCAAAAAACTCTATAAAAAGAAAAAAATGAAAAAAAGATATTCTGTTAATGTATTTTTGAATAGTGTAAAATAAAGATAATGCTGTTTTGGTTTTTTAAAACCTGAACTTTGCATTTTGTTGTTCTTTTTTTTTTTTTGGTACTGATGATCAAACTTGGGTCCTTGTACTTGCAAGGCAGGTGGCAGAACCACTGAGCTAAATCCCTGGCCCTGAACTTTGCATTTTGAGTAATTTTGGGCTTTCTTGATATTTTTAATATTTTTGACATTAAACTCATTTTTGATGGTGTTAAGGTTGAAACGTCAGATGGTGATCACAGAATAGCAATTTTCCTTCTGTTAATCACAAATAATGTACTTTGGAAAGTGATTTTTAGTGAGAAAGATGAACTAACCATTCATATTTAAAAAAATAGAAATCTTTGGTCTTATATATTGATTAAGAAATGAGAAGAATAAATTAGGAAAACTCAGGGTGTGAGGGTTACATAAAAGAGCAAAAGACAAAGCTTATGAGTGAGGCAGACCTAAATAGAACCAAAATAAAACAGTGGGCCAGTGGAATTGTGTCTTTGTTTTACATATTTAAGGTGTATGTGTCTTTTTTCCACTTTGATTACAGTTGTACTTGTGTTCAGTATCGATAGTGAAGATCGGAGGGGCCAGGGATTTAGCTCAGTGGCACTGCACCTGCCTCAGAAGTGCAAGATCCTGAGTTCATCCTAAGTATCCCTCCCCCCGCCCCAAAATTGAAGACTGGTCTGGCCTGTAGTTCAGTGGTGGAGTGATTGCCTTGTGAGGCTCTGGGTTTCATCTCGAATACTACAAGAATATAGTAAAAAAAGGCATTTCATTTGTTTCATTCAGAAACAAATTTTATTCTTATAGCTTATTTTCTCCCTTTTGTCTATGATTAAACCAATTCCAATGGGCACTGTATATTAAGACAAATGAGTTTGTGTGCAATTTTAGCTGTTAATGCCTGATTAAGCCTTTTGCAGTTTACATCATTGAGTCTAAGGAGGAGGGGGCTATGCAACTTTTCCTGAAAGCAATGAATACTGGTTTTCTGGTTGGTGATTCTGTATGTGACTGAAAAACATTTTTTGGGGGGGTAACAGTAATGTTGTAGTAATTTGTACATGTTACTTTTCACAAAATTGTGACTTACTTTCAGTATATCTATTTTATTTACTTAACTCTACATTTCTTGTTTTGTAGACAAACTCGCTGATATCCACAATACTAGTTGTTTAAACAGGACTAATTACCTCATCTGCAGGTGAGTTGCCAACTCCAGAGGTAAATTATGTTTAACTTTTTATTTTTTGCTGGATTAAAATACTAATGTAAGCTTGTTGGAAAAAGACAATAAGTATAGAAACATGTGATGTAGAAAGTAATCTTTTCCCTCATTCAGAAGTTACCATCATTAACAATTAGTCACTTTTTCATCTCTGGGACAAACTATCCCAACACATACAACTTAAAGGAGATTATGTAGTTCACAGTTTGAGTGGGTTCAGTCCATGGTAGGCTAGCTCCATGGTAGAAGGGCACAGAAAAGAAAAGCTGCTCATACTATAGGGACTAGGAAGGAGAGAAAGAACAGAGGAGCCAGAGACAAAAATACAGCCTTCCACATTGAACACCCCAGTGACCCAACTTTTCCACCTAGACCCCACCTCTGAACAGCACCTTCAGCTATGAACTTATCAGTGGATTAATGCTTTGATGAGTAGAGTGCCCCTGTGATCCAGTCATCACCTTATGCTGAACACTTAAGACTCTGGGGGGATATTTTAGAGCTAAACCATAACAATAATTTTGTATATATCCTTTTAGATTTCAAAAAAGGAAATACAAGCATGTGTATGTAGTTTATAGTATAGTAAACCTTCTGTTTAAGGTAATGTGTTGTAGATAAGTTTCTATGAAAGTACTTAGAAACCTCATTCTCTTTAAAGGCTGTATTTTTTTCTCCATATACTGGTGAACTTGAAAGTCAGAAATTTTTATTTTTTATTTTTTCAATGCTGGGAATCAAACTCAGAACCTTGTGCTTGTGAGGCAGGCGTGGTGCCCCTGAGCTATATAACTGGCCCAGAAATGTTTAACATTGTAAATTTAAAGTAGTAAGCATTCCTCCATGAACATCTTTGAATACATATGCAATGAAGCAAAGAGTATGCATTCTTTTTTTTGTTTTTTCTGTACCAGGGATCAAACTTAGGATCTTGCACTTGCAAGATAGGCATGGTGCCACTGAGCTAAATCCCTGAATTCTTTCATTTTTGTGGATATTGTTACACTGTGCCTTTCTGTTTGTTTATTCAGAAAATACTCGTTGAACATCTGGTATGTGGGGGTACTGTGCTTAGTGTGAGCAGAGAGACTATAACCATCCTCTGTGAAGGAATATATATGAAAGAATCACACAAGTACATATAGAATTATAACTCTGACAGGTGTTATGGAAAAGGATATGGTATTGTGAAGGCATTTATTAAAAAAGATTTGACCTCGGCTTGGGCCCACCCCCACTGCCGGGCCACTGCCATTGCTCCAGCGCCAGGAAGGTAGCTAGCTGTGCAGGCGCCCTTGATCCCCCCGCCCCGAACTCTCAGACCTCCTGAT